TCTTAGATTTGAGTAAATACAGTATTTATTCTGAGCCAAGCTAACATGTGCTTGGTGCTGTACAAATACAGCCCTGCCCCAAGAGCCTGAACTCTGAATAGATGTGTAAAGTGCAGAAAGTGTTTGTGTTGAGCCCATCTAATGTGGATGCAGAACCAATAGGGTTGGTTGGCGTGTCGGCCTGTGATGCAAATCCTCTGTCACAGCTCTTTGGTACAACTATGCTGGCTCCTTTGCTTTACTTCTTATCTTTGGTTTGGCTCCTTTGCTTTACTTCTTATCTTTGGTTTGTGCTTCCTTGGTTGTCTACACTTCCACTGTATCGTGTCCCAAGCCACTGCTGGATGCACTTCTCCATCCACTTCCTCCTACCCAGCAAGCACCAAATCCCCAGAGTGACCTTGAAAACAAGCCAATAAACAACACACCCGATACAGAAAGCCGAAGAGCTCAGGACCATTCTTTGGCAGCTACACTGTCTCAGTTCCCAGGCTCTTGCACACACTGAGGACAGCGAGCGGGCAGGGCATGTCATAGTGCAGTCCCTAGGCATAGCACCACGGTGTGGTGGGGCAGATGCCCCGACTGCTTCTCAGACAACAGCATGTGCTTTGAAGGCTCATTCCCTGTGGCACAGCATTACTTTGGATGGTCACTGAGCAGATATTCCTGTACTCCCCTACCTCCTTACTTTTCTTTTCTCTGTACTGCCTAACGCAAACAAACAAACAATAAACTCCTACTCTTCTCCAGAAATCTTACTTGAGCAGCTGATGCAAATGCCTGCTCCAATATCTGTGTTACTGGGGAAGCATTTGTGCCAAATGAAAGCCTGCCAAGAACAACAGTTTGCTAATGGGGTGGAGAGCAGCATTTACACCTGTGGTTAGGGCAGGACAGTCATCAAATGCTGCACGAGAGGCTAAACATTACAGCAATCTCATACCGTAGTAAGCTGTGGGAAAACATCAAGATCTTTTCTGAACCAAAAACATACGTTAATGTCTGAAAAATAAATTGAATTTCCCTGCATATATAGCCTAAAAATCACTACTCTTCCTAGATGCACGACCTTTAGCACTGGCTTAAGTGTAGTATTGTCCACATCTTCCTTCTAATCTCCTCTCTGCTGCTTTGTTAGCTGAATCCCCGCTGGACTACCCCATAGGGAGAGACGGATAATAATCTGCTTCAAGGTGACAATTATAAGTGAAAATGCACTGATCAACAAGCAATCCATAGATCTAGTTTCTGTCAATCCTAAACTCATAAGGCTGGAAGAATTTTCCTAAACCACCTCAAAACAGGAAATTTTGAATTCAGATCAACTTACCAAGAGCCAAATCCCATAGGTCTCCTGTCATAATCAGGCAAATCCGGAGCTATCTTACATGCTTCTATGTTCAGGTACTTAAATATGTGGATTTTTCCTTTTATACATATCTACAAAAGAGAATCTGTAAGTTTCAAAAGACTACACAGTAATTAGCAGTTGCCACTAATAAATCAGCAAGCTCAACTGTCAATAAATAAACCATTCATCTATTCTTCTAACCTTTCCTCCATTTTAGATAAACCTGCATATTGAAGAACAAACATAATAAAATACAACTGGAAGCCATTCTGCAAGAACATCTGGGTCCCTTTCTGTGAGCTGGCTGAGGATGCTTTGTCATGTGAAGAATGAGATACATGCATTTGTACGGAGTAAAACTTACACTGCTTGGCACTAAAGCAGAAGTGACCAAACCCTGCCTGAGTTAGAATGGCAAAGGCAGCTTGCCAAAAGTCAAGCTCACATGTCAATCACGTGAAGCCGATTACAGCTATCTTCATTTTTAATATAGAGGCTGGGTCCATGGAAACTACAGGTCTTGACTTGATCTGCTACAGAGAGAAAGGAGGCCACAGTATGACCTGCAGGTCCCATAGCAAAGCTTAAGTCAGCCATTGACCACACTGCCTTCAGCCCACAGGCTGCATTCTAGGCAGTCTATTGTAAAGTGAATGACAATGCATCTAGTTTTAGGTTCCCAGGTCAAAGAGTGGCACAGATATTGCTAGGTCCCCACAGGCATCCTCTCCCACAAAGCCTATTCTGACCTAGAGTTGCTTGCTTATATCAGTTCTACAATAAGCATTTCATTCAAAAAGCTAAAGGAAGTCCTGCAATAAACACATCTCTGATACCACTAGTTTGACAAACAAGGAAAAAGGGAGGTGAGGAGGATTTGTTCCATGGATTAGATCCTAAATACAGCTCACCTGTGCAGGGGGTGACTGTAGAGGGTTGTTATCTAGTGTAATTGTCTGAAGATGCCTGAGGTTCCGATAACAAACTGGGATTGTGGTTATTTTATTGCAGGAAAAATCTAACCGAATCAAAGGCAGTTCTGCAAGCTCTGGTGAAAGAAAATAAAACAGCTTTAAAGCAAAAAGAAAGCAAAATTTTCATGCCTGAATTCGTAAGTCAAGTAATAATGGAGTTTGCTACTTGCTCTAAAACCAAAAAATCCCCCCCCACCTTTAACACAAGAACCTAATTGCCAATGATCCAGCTGTTACACGCAGTCGCCTTTTATTTGTTCCTCTTACCTTCAGGTAAACGCAGCAAATGATTTCTTCTAACATTCAGGTCCCGCAAGGATTCCAGATTGCCAATCTGGGGAGGTATCATCTGTATTTCGTTACAGCTCACATCCTGAAATGCAAGATGAGTGGATGAGCTACTGTTTTGATATGGTCACTCTGCCCCTTTAGAAAATCCCAACACCAATCCCTGCCCCTCTGTTAAGTGAAAGACAGCTCTATTTTAACTATAAACTTAGAAAAGATAAGCAATAACGTCACATCTAAGATTCTCAAAATGCTTTGCTAACATTAATTTAGTCTCATTGCTGAGATGAAGGCAAGAATTATACTTGTTTTACAGAACTGGAAATGGGGATGCACAATAATGAAGCAGTATTTTGGTGTCCCAGCTAGATAACCATAATGCCAGGAGCAGAATCCAGGAAATCTGACAGTCGATGATACAGGCTTTGGACAAATTATACAGAAAACTGGAAGTAAATAACAGTTCCAGGTATATTAAATTGGCCAACCAGTATGTTACTATACACTTCAATTATTCCTCCAAAGTCTTCCCATTTCCAAAGGGATAAGAGCTAACTCTGAGAGTTCATTTGCAGGGACAGACTACTTTGCATGGACTTTTAAAAATCTTCAAGACTACAGGCACTTTCACAAATGACAATACACAAACCAAAGAAAATGCAAAGTGAACTGCCAGTACAGAAGTCAACCCCCACTAAAGTAATACTCATGCAAACTAAAAGTAGCCCTTGCCCCACATGTCAAAAAACAAAACAAGAACAACCTCCCTACCTTCCTCCCCCCAACCCCCCCCCAAGCCCCCTATGTTGTGTGCATGACCCAAAATGTATAAATCTGTTTTCTTGAAGTGGGGGAAAAAAGAGTTTCTTGAACAATGTATGGGGGGGGGCTCAGCCCAGGTTCCCTCAAAGAAGATGCCCTGACACCAGCCACACACTCAAATCAGGGAGGCTTAAAGTATTTTTGTTGCAAAAAGCATCATTTACATCAGCCACTGCAACTGCCTCTGCCATATACAGAGAGAACCTGGGACATCAGGCTCCAGTTAGTACAGGTCTGTCTACTCTAATTCAGGAAAGAAGCAGGAAGCCAGAGCCAGCAACTGGAATGGTATTCTGGACTAGGCAATGTCTGGCTAATAAGCAGGTCTGACAGCACTGAATTTGCTAGAACTAAGTTCCAGACTCTTACTTTAGGTTATCTTAGCACCACAATATCCAAATTGTTCCCAATCTTTAATGCATTTATTCTCATAAAAGCATGTTTATGCGAGCTATGGCATTGCTATGAAGCCCCATTTCACAGCTGGAGAAGTGGAGCCCTACATGACATCATGAATTCATAGAAAAATGAGGGTTGGAAGGGCCCTCAGGAGGTCACATCTAGTCCAACCACCTGCTCAAAGCGGGACCAGCCCCAACTACATCATCCCAGCTGAAGTTTTGTCAAGCCAGGTCTCAAAAGCCTCCAAGGATGGAGATTCCACCACCGCTCCAGATAACCTGTTCCAATGTTTTCATAGATTTCACAGACATTAGGGCTAGAAGGGACCTCACAAGTTCATCAAGTCCAGCCTCCTAGTGAGAAAATTTTCCTAATAGTCTTCCTAACTGCCTTTGCTGCAACTTGAGCCCATTGCTCCTTGTTCTGCCATCTGCCCCCACTGAGACCAGTCCAGCTCCATCCTCTTTGCAGCCCCCCTGCAGGGAGGTGAAGCTGCTATTCAAACCCCCTCAGTCTTTTCTTCTCCAGATTAAATAAACCCAGTTTCCTCAGTCTTTCCTCACAAGTCATGTCCCCCAGCCCTGCAACCATTTTCACTCTCTCCAGCTTGTTCACATCCTTTCTGTAGTGGGGGGCCCATAACAGGACACAGGACTCCAGATGTGGCCTCCCCAGTGCTGAAAAAGGGGAAGAATCACTTCCCTTGACCCGCTGGCAATGCTCCTCCCAATGCAGCCCAGGATGCCAGTCTTCTTGGCATCAAGGGCAGGCTGCTGGCTCATGTCCAGCTTCTTGTCCCCTGTCACCCTCAGGTCCTTTTCTGCAGAGCTGCTGCCCAGCCAGTGAGCCCCCTTGAAGTTGCAAAGGAAGTCACACGGGAAGTTCATGATGGAACAAAGACTTCACAAGTCCTGGGCCAACATCCTATTGGTTGTATTCTTTAGCTGAAAAACATTATCTATTATCTGAAAGAAGCTGTAACCTGCTAGAGCAAATGGTCTGCAAATTAAAGTCCAAGCTGCAACCCCTAAAAATGAAGGGTATACTCACAAGCTCTGTTAAGTGTCTAAGCTGTCCAATTTCTTCAGGCAGCGAGACCAGTTTATTATTACTTGCTATCAAAACTTTCAATGGTAGACTACACAAGTGTACTGGCAACATGGAGAGCTGGTTTCGACTTTTTGGTCAGAAGAGAAAAGAAAGCAGTTAGTATTTGGGAAGAGACCAGTTACCAACTTTAACACAACAAAAAGAAATACCAAAACCGCAAACTCAGTTATGACAGCACATAAGTGCATCAATTCTCTTTCTACACATGATTATAGGTAACCTGGTACCCTGCAGTCTTGTCCACATCTCACTCTAACCCTTTACTTTCCCAATGTCTGTGTAGCCAGAAACTCTGAGTCTGCTACCCAACTCTTTTGAACTCCTGAGAATGGGAGACAGGAAATTTTTGTAGCAGGATTTGAGACTAGCTACTTTTAGGTATGGTGCACATACCTTTTATAGCTACCCAGGTTGCTTTTTTTTAATTGTGTGTCTGTATGTAGGGAGTGTCAGCAGAATTAGTTTTTACTTGCTCGAGCAGGAGTGTTAAGTGTGTGTTATAAGTAACTCATTTGTAATGGAGTCCAAATACAGTGGCAATGACATCTGAGAAATCTTTTAGAAATTTCACAATTCACTGTTTGACACTTCAGTTTTTTATTACTACAGAAGCATAGTCATATGATGGGACTCTGACCTCAGTGAACAAATCACATGGGATGAAGCTGATTAACAAGAGAGAAAGTTTCTGTTTACAAATAAATCAGAGCAATATGAAATGAGTTGCAAGTTAGAGAGAACATTAAATGGCACTTTAACTGAGGTTTGGATCAGCTATAAAAACCATGTTTGACAAAACATGGCATTGTTTTTTCAGTGTCTGAAGTCTAGATTTTCCACTGTAAAATTCTATTCCTGTGCAGCTGAGGAATCAATGCCAGCTAGTAACATGGTATAATAATTTGAAATGCACCTGCTAGAGATCACAGCAATAGGAAATCCGCCTCTGACTCATATCCTATTCCTACAATACACACCATAAAACAAAAAAGGAACATAAGCAAAATTAAACTGGCAAAGGGGTAATGCTTGATGCAAAGTGTGTGCTGTTTTTTTTTTACCAGTATCAGTAGCTGCTTGTGACTGAGGGCTCTGCATACCTAAAATATTGTTTCTAATAAATGCAGACTATTGCATCCAGTTGAACTGCAACAAAAAGGCACAACACTGTTATATGCACACCAGGCAATTAAGCAGACAAATGCATTCAAGATTTATCCAAAAACCTCCGAAAAGTCCACAATACAGTGGGCTTAAATGGAAATTCCCTAAACATCACTAAAAAGTTACAAGTTGTGCAGAGATGTATTTCTTTCCTGATCATCTCTTATTTGAGTTGGTAGATATCTACATTTTACACAAAGACTACTAGACTGTTTTATGATAGACTCCACAGAGCCTGAGTTAAGCTGAGTTTTGGGTTGTGTGACCTTTATCATTTATTACTTTCCTGTCTTGCACCTCAACCCATTGCTAATAATCTCTTACCCTTATTTAGAGAGTCAAGGAGCAACTTCCTTAATCTAGACAGTGAGGTCTTGCTTTTCAAGGCATTTAGAAAGGACACTCCAAAGAATAAATGAAATTTATCAGACCAGATGATATATCTGATTAAAAAAAATCTTAATGCACATTTCATATTTGTCATTAATATGCAAGGTGCATCCACCTAAAGCCCACGGTAAACGGGCAAACAAAATTCACACAATGCAGGAGTGATTAGTCCATACTGAAGTTCAAATTGAATCAACTGGTGACACTGTGCAAGTGGTGGCTTTACTTTTAGCTTACTTTAATTTGAAAAAATACTGGTCATTTACTCTGTTCATTAAACTAAAGTTTCAGTTACACATCTTACCCATTTGCAATTTCCATTAAAAACAAACAGACAATTATTCTTTCACTGTCAGTTCAACTGAAACTATTTCTGAATTCTACAGATTTTCAGAGAGTAAATATCCCTACCCACTTTAATATAGAACTTACTCAGAACCCCAAGAAACTGCTTCTCTCAGACTTACAAATTAAGCTACTGGCTGCTTCTCTTGTTCTCTATTCTCTCACATACAAAAAGAGATTGTCCAGCTATATCTTGGACAGATTTATACTTTTTACTTCCTCTGACTTCAGCAATTTGTCTCATACGCCAAATAGCCTTTGAACAAAGAAATTTTGACCAATTTGTGCAATTGCCAGTTGTCTCCTCAGTGTCAGTTTGTGACCTTCTAGTTTCAAATCAGTCTCTTAAAACAGTATTTCTTAGTATCATTAGTCCATTCCTTACAGCTTAAGACAAGCAAGTATGAAAGTCTTTCCCTTGTGTTAAAAGCTATATTGTAAAAGTCTCTGCATACTAAAAGCTGCTTCAGACATTCATTTTGTGAAGCTATATAGACCCAAAGATAGCAATTTTCTTCACTCAGATTCCCCTTCCCTAATCAGACTTATTTTAACTGACCTTTTTTTTTAAATATTATTTAAAGTCCAAACAAGACCACCAAGATTTTGAAACAAACTATGTACCCAATGCTACTTGCTTGAAAGAAGTGATTAAAATGAGGTACCCAGATACTTAAGTGAACCTTTAATTTGACAGTATTTATCTACATGGCTTTACCATGGACTCTGCTGAATTTACTCAGTGGCAGGATCCACGTCCATCAAGCAACAGTCCATGCCATGTTATTTCCATGACCTGTTCCTCCTCATGTGAGCCTGACCCTTTGGTTACTACAGAAGTTTGCAGGCACAAGGAAAAGCAAGGGTTTCATAGTAAATGAAATGAATACATACAAGTCTCAAAAGATCTTGAAACACCTAGCCAGAGGTCATTTTTCCTACTTTATTTAAGCTAACACCCTGAAAAACACTTCATGACTCTTTAACAATTTCCTACTGCTACCAATTAAGGAGCAGGGATGCTCTGTTAAAAATCTAAAAGTGCCCTGGAACTATCACAGGTCATAATTTTAAATTAAGTACAATTATTAAATAAATTCAGGTGCAAAGAGAAGCCAATGGCTCCAGTTAAACAGACACTGCTCACTTAAAAAAAACAACCCTCCCGAACACAGTTTTAATTTATCCAAACACCCAAAATTACTACAATGATCAGATTAAAGAAAGATTCTGATTTTTTTTTAGTTTATTTATGTGGAGCACTTTGCATACCATTTAAAAAAAAAAAACAATTTTCCTTGCATAATCAGGTTGTTCTCGTTCCACGGATCTTGCACACAGCAAATAAAAAAACATGTAAGACAGAGATGCAACCGTTTATAAACACTAATGCTTATCATAGTAAATATACACTTATTTATTATCATTGTGATTTCTTATAACAGTAAATATTCCTGCACCTTTATAGCACATCCCATCTCAGCATTTCAAAGCACTTTACGAAAAATATTGATTCAGGGTAGAGATCATCAGTTTACTGATGGGGAAAATGAGGAGCCAAAGTGAAATTAGTTGCCCAGGATCACACAAATGACTTTGCATCAGGAGCAGCAACAGGGTCTCTCGAGTCCTAGAGGATGGCTGTCAGTAAAGTCATCTTTCCCCTTTTGTTACTTATAACATGCAGAAGCCCACGAGATCTCATTTACAGGGTAATAAGAGAATATAAAGAACGAAAAGAATATGGGCAGTATTGGTTGGAGCCTTTGGTTGGCCTAATCCAGACCCAAGAGATCTCATTTACAGGGTAATAAGAGAATATAAAGAACAAAAAGAATCAAGAAATCTGTTCCTATCATAGACCTGGGCAGGGACAGGAAGAATCAAAGGAAGAGAAAGAAAAAATATTCCAGATTTGTTAACCAGAACAAACAGGCAATTTATATTTCCTGTGCCATCAGATCTGTAAAACTGAACAGATGGAACCTGTTTGAACTCATAAAGGAAGAATGCTGACTGCATAGAAAATTAGACTGCAGGCACCATGCAGCAATCCCAAAGTGCCAAAAGTTAAAATTATTATTGGCTGGTGTCTCTTGATCAAGGTAAATGAAAAAGAATGGTCCAGGCTGGTGGACTAGATAATCCACATTATCATAGGGGACAGGTTATACATTGTGTTTGCATAAATGTAGACTGCTGATATGAAATCAAGTTTTCAAGGTAATGGTTACCTGATATTTAGAAACGTCAAGGACTGCAGGTTCAATATCGCCTCGGGGATGTAACGAATGCAGTTCTGGTAAAAATTAAGGCTCTCCAGGGAAACAAAGTGACAAACTTCTGCTGGGAGCTCGGAGAGTCTGTTCCGTGACAAATCTGAGGAAAAATGGAAAAAGAAATGTTCACCAAATAGCCTGAGTGTGACTGCATGGGGCAAGGACTGTGCTTCCACAAGCGGGCATCGCCTTGCACACTGGAGAGACAGGTGGTTGGGAACATTTTTTCCCCATTAGGGATCCCATTCTACAACAGGAGTGAACCCAAACCTTTTTAAGTTTTACACGCAAAATCAGAGCACGAGCATGTACGGTTTAACCCATCTTCAAAGAACCAGCTGCCTAGTGGTTAGGTAAATCGCCAGGGACATGGGAGATTGTGCTTGAAGCCCTGTTCTGCTCTGTTCAGACAAGGGAGTTGATTCTGGATCTCTGGTATCCCAAGGGAGTGCTCTAAGCCCCATGCTACGGTCTCTTCTGGAATGAGTCTCAATCTCTCCTGTTGGAGTTGTTCTACTTTGTAAGTAATTGAACATTCACTGGACCAAAAATAGAGAGTAACTGTTCAATGCCAGGCACCCAGGATGTGGAAGATAGATTCCAGCCTCTGATCCAATTAACAACACATTACAGGGGAAAATCCAAACAGCAGAGCTTAAGAAACACCCCCTCCAAAGCAGTGGATAGCTTGGTGGTTTGGACACTTACCAAGTTAAAGCCCTGGTCTGAATTAGGCCAACCAAAGGCTCCAACCAATACTGCCCATATTCTAGGGAACCATCTCAACCACTGGGCTACTACTGCCCCAGAGTTGGGTGCCCCCAAGAAACCTCTCCTAATTAACATTTTGTTAAAACTGATACACAATTTTTGGTTTTGACTAGTCAAGGACTCCACACCCCCCGGCCTACAACCATGCTCTAATTGTGAACTGTAAATGTATAAAATGATAATGGTAACTAGCATCGTGCCTTTGCACTGTGTTCTTTCAGCTGTCAAGTGACATAGCTTTAGTTTTTGTTTTTGAGAAGAGCAAGGAAAAGCTTGTGCTCATAAAGGCCAAAGGACAATTCCCATAACATGCATCTGCTGCAGCAGCTTCCTCACACACCCTCATTCTCAGTGCTAACCCAGAGGTACATCTACCACTATGGGCCAGAGAGGCTGTTTCATGTGGGTACTCATTTCCTTCTGAGTGACTGTCAGTTTAACAAATGCATGATGTTTCACCTTTTCAATGGCAAACATCCACTATAGCCAAGTCAAACTATATAACCAACCTGAATTATTATTGTATGTGATTGAAACAAAAGTTAAAAAAAACCCCAAAAAACAAAAAACCAACCACTATTTTATTTTTTCATTCTTAATGACAAGATGCGACTACTATAGAGTCAACATATGCAACAGTCATAAGAAGAAATGCAAGACTTAGGAGAAGAGCTGAACAGCTGTAATTTCTTCATCCACTTGGGATCAACGATTTCCATCTTTATCCTTCAACGTACCCGTTCAAATTGACCCTGTCCTCAGAAGGCTGGCAAATCAAGCAGACCTTGAAGTGTGCCCTCCAGGTCCCATTAAAACTGGGAAGGAAACTTTTTAAAAGTAAAAGTCTTCTGACTGATAATTGGCTACTACCAGCTTTTTCCTGGTTGAGGAAAGAGATTGTTAAGCTTGAGTACCTGAGCTTATCTCACCTTCACCTAAAAAAAAAAAAAAAAAAAAAAAAAAAAAAAAAAAAAGGGGGTTTTCAAAA